TCGGCGGTTGCATTTGATGGTAGAAGGATTGCGGCTACCTCATCTTTCTTAGAATAGTGCCAGGGGTTGTGTTAACGAAAGTGGAACTGTATTATATTTATACATCAGCCCCCAATTGAGGATCGAGATACACAACTGTGAAATACGGGAGGCCAAGAGATTTAGAAGTGCAGTTGATTGTCACGTGATAGAAGACGCACGGTCCAACTAGAACTTCACGCAAACACACAACGTCAACTTCATGTCAAAAAACTCCATATCTCGGTCTCAACCATCAAGGCAATTAAGTAGGATACATCTTCAATTGTAATTGAAAGTTTCACATTCATATGCATCTTTCTGCGATGCTTCGTATTGACAAATAATACCTAGTCTATCTGCTTTGGTTTCTTCTTCCATTTGACTCGATCCCAAAATGTCAGCCCTTTGACGGACATACCATGGTTACCATGTTTCGGTAGATACATCTCAATCTCTTCTCTCGTCTGCTCATCTACGTTACTTGCGAATCTCTCATCATAACCTATTGGCTGATAGCCAGGATCCAACGCTGTGAGATATTTCACTATTTCAACCTTTCCGTAATAAATGGCCCAATCTAAAACCCGTCTCTGTGCAGACTGTGTGTCAATGCTGGAGCGGCCATATTCTGCGAGTGCCATGATTGTATGTACATTCCCTACTCTTGCAGCGTACATCAGAGCATTGTTACCATTGATGTCTTGTATGCCTTCATTAGCACCCTGTTCTAGCAAACACTTTACTCCCCGATCATAGCCCTTCAGACAAGCGATCATTAAAGCTGTATGTTTCGAATCTCCGGCTCGAATGTTGATATCAGCGCCAGCCTGAACCAGTAGTTCTATCACGTGTGTGTTGTGAGCGATTCCTTTATCGAAATAAACCGCTGCTATCAACGGTGTTTCTCCATATTTCCTATCTTTGACGTCCCAATTGCAAGAATCAACAAATGCATCATACTGCAGTAATAGTTTCACCGAAAAGACACAATTCTGACGCGAGGCGATATAAAGTGGTGTCAGCCCATGTGCATTCTGAACCTCCGTCGCTGCACCATGGCTTAACAAGAATTGAACAACATGCGAGTTCGAGGGCACTTGAGCAGCCCCATGCAATGGTGTGCATTTCAGATCACCTGAGACTAAATTAACGTCTGCACCATTCTCAACTAGTAACTTGACCACATCAAGCGATGCTTCATATTGACCGGCGGCGGCAAATAGAGGCGTACACCCCGCTTCATCACGATGGTTCGGTTTGGCGCCATAGGCTAACAAACACTTTATAGCAACCTTGGAGCCCCACTTGGCAGCAAGCACCAAAGCAGTATCGCCATTTTGAGCAAATCGATCCAGGTTGAAATCTCCTGACTTGACGAGTGACTCGACCCTCTTCAAGGCTTGCATTCGTACTGCGTCTATTAGTTCCTCGTGTCCCAAAGGTGTTGTTCGTATGGATTTCATGATTGCTCCTTGGACTTGCGGATACGCAGTACCCTGGCTTGTAGCGGGAAATTTTGCTAGTCTAGAGTGATCTGTAATGCACGGAACCTCTACCTCCCTCGTACCAACGCCAAGTACTGCCGAGTCTACATTCCTATTAGCGGCTTCAAACATATGCAATCACGTATTGGGATATTGTGGAATCCTTCGAGGTGTGCTTACCTGGGGGTACCATCATCTTCTCTAATCCTTGTCTGGCCCATGTCCCATCTGGCATCTAATGCATGAGTGAGCCATTAATCTTCATGGCAGGAAAATTTTACTAACCTCAACCAAAGTTTTGGTTCGGATGGTCTCATAAACTGATAGTATCGCGATTTCGGGAGCCGTGGATAAAAAGTGACAGAAATCAGAGTTCAGTTCGTTGAGTTCATGAGATCGAAAAGATATTTGTCGAATTAAGGGTGCTGTTGCATCATGCTTAACGAGCTCGAGTAGAGCCTCCGTATCCAATCCTCGATGTGGTGTTCCCATGAATATCATCAAAGGAATAGAAGGCATTATTTTCCATCGCCCTAACATAGCCTAGACAAATATGTGAGTAATAACACTATACGAGACAGATAGTTGCATACTTTCTTAATCACCAAGCCTCCCAAACTATGTCCGACAAATACCAGAGGTCGATCCTACTGTGGTCAATATCTACCTTGCCAAATCATGAACACCTGACTTACTGATGCATGTCTGCGTATCTCTTCTACATCGCTACGGAAACGAGAACTGAATACTGAAATAACAGCCTCTGAGTGGCTACCTTTCAAGTGAGAGTCAAATCCATAGCTCATTACCCTCGCATTTGGGAAGTCCACTGCCAGTTTGTCTCGCAACCACATATGCGTTGGCTCTGATGCCCATGAACCGAAGGCATTACCAGCTAGTCCCGTGACAGCAATAATGCTATAATATCTATCAGCAAGAACAATTATGGAAGTGGGAAGCTTACTCAAGAGCTACCGGTTCTTGTGGCTCATTTAGAGGAGTAAATCCATAGAATGTTTGGTCAACGACAACTCTGTCTCCGCCACGGCCTTTCAGAACCGGTAATGGGACCGATGGATTCCAACCCGACGGCGGCATAAAGTCTACAGTAGCGACTTTTAATTCGTTCGGTTGGCCATCGATAAGTGGTGCGACAGATCTCGCAACCAGTTGCATGTCCACCGCGGGATCGAATTGCAAGTAATTATGAACATTTTTGAGTGTTATATCATGGGGTAGTCCTTCCACTCTGTAGCCTGTACGACCCATCTTTCAAGAGAAGCTCCAGGAAATCGACATACAGAAGGGGCGATGATGTCGACTTCAATTGAATCAAATTGTTTCGAAGTGCCAACTTGCAATCACTGAAATAATTTTGGCCTGCTATTTGGCCCCTGTGATTGAAACACCAAAAACAGAAAGTACCCTTCCCATCGGGATCCTTCCGATGTCAGCATCTCGTCACAAAACTCGAAAAATTTCCACATTCGGTTGAAATTAGCATTCTCACCAACAATCCCACGTGGTACTTGGCAGGGGTCAAGCTGATAAGGTATCACATCGAGGGATCAATAAAGTTCCATATTAGATGAATATATTCGCGCTTAATTTGCACCATCTTTTCAAGATGAAACATGGCACGCCAAGTTTACCATTGCGGGTGACCTAGGGTTTACAATGCTTACACTGGATATTCCCGATACTACCTTGTAACGTGTTCTATCTCAAGACTCAGATGTCGCCACATCGTCTGTACGTCGAAAAATCACTTACAAATCATTTTCACAGCCTTATCATCGTCGATTCCCGATCAAAAACATATGGGGTGGAATCAATCATTTCAGTTATCACTCCTTCATCCTCGGCAATTGGCCACGCGTAGGTCAGTTTATAGGGCTGAAATGACATATAGACGTTTAGAAATTCTTGCCCAAAGAAGTAAATGATCTCATCCAATCAGATGGTGCCCATCGCATATTTGAGAACTCTCCTATTCTTTCCCTATGAGGCCACCGTAAACTCCGGTAATCAATTGTGACGATTATGAGGCCGTCAATTTCAAAACCAGACTATTCCACAAACCCCGATACTTCCTCTTCACTAGCCTGACTAGGATCTACTATTCCGGGCCGGTCCGTTAAGAATTGACAGACTCGTGCTCGAGTTGCGTACTAGCGTTGTACTATCTCAATTCTGCCATGCGAACACTGCTCTCTAAGTATCGAAACTACCTAGTAAATAGTAACTATTCCATCCACTATCCGAAGAAGTTAATCCCCAACAGCCGCTTGACGCCCCATCTAGTAATATTCTTTTACGAGCTGTTGTCCAAACTCGTCGTTCACAGGCTACCTAGATACCTACCTACACTAAAGTATTGGGATAACCTTACACAGCAAGCATTACGTTACGGCTCCACCGCATGTCTAAATCAAAGAGTTCATACATAATACATACATAGATCCACATATACATATATACGCATACCTAGGTACACTCAGCAAACACCTCCTCTAAAATCACCTAATCACACATATAAACAAGATAAGCCCACACACCGTGTATCAAGAGGCGTACATATCGGAGAGAGCGATGTATGTGAGATTTATCATATATCGTGTAGCATATTGTTTGTGTAGGTATTATGTAGGGTAATATGTAAGTATTTCTCACACCCCCTGTTTCTGGGCTATTTTTGGGGGCGAGGTTATGGTGTGGAGATCCCTGGGTGTGGGTGGATACGGTGGTATAGTAAGCGGGAATACGGGGGACTGTGGTAGGGATGCTAGGGATGCTAGGGATGTGGTAAGGGGTGAGGTGGTGGGCGCTTATTTTTGGTGGTTGTGAGAATGGGGATTTGGGAGGAGGGGGGGGTTGATGTGATATGATATGATATGATGGGTTTGGAATTGGAATTGGTATTGGTATTGGAATTGGTATTGGTATTGGAGTGGAATGGATTGAATTGGATTAAATAAAAAGGAGTAACTAGATCCTCGTGATATGGAATATTAATCAATCAATTAGAAGAGCACGTGAATTTCAATTTGGGAAAATGATGAGTCGTGTCCAGTAGTAAGCAATCAAGTATTAAATCAAGTAATAAATCAAGAGAATGAGTTTTGAAGAAGTTTTAGGAAAAAGAGAGAGGAAACAGTTCCTATTTCCTGATCATTAGTAGTGGACTATAACTCCATCGTAATCACATATGATATGGTATCCAAGTAAATATTGCTACATGAGAGAAAGAGAAAGGGGAGGAAAGAAATTTATCAGAAGTGTCGGAACCAAATTAAGCCTGTCGTGGACACATACGCTTCCTGACCTTGGACTTTATATCCTCAAGATATCCTATGGAGGGGAAAGAAAGAGAGAGACAAAGAAAGAAGTAAAACAAAAGCAATCAGAGAAGAAACGCCCCAATAATAATAATAAAAGAAAAGAAGCCCAAAATTCCTCAATCCCCTACCTCAAAATCCCAATCCACCCAACCCTCTAACACAAGAACCCCGTGCGAACCAAAGCCTGCAAGCTCCATTTCGCATGGGCATGCTGATCGCCCAAAAGTTTGACCTGTCCCTCATACGCCTGAGTATGCCAAGTCACCGCCTCCGCCAGCTCTCCTCTCGCTTCGTAGCACAGCGCGAGCGAATTCATCGCCCACAGGGTATCCGCGTGCATTCTCCCATGGACCTGGATTCTCTGATCGAGCACTCTCTGACGCGTCTCAAACGCCTCGTCGATTCGGCCTAGCTGCGCGAGACAGCGCGCCGTGTCGGAGAGGGTCCAGATGGCGTGGGGGTGCAGCGGACCGAGGGTACGCACCATGGAGTTGTAGGCGCGGGTGTGCAGGGCGAGCGCTTCGTTGGGGAGACAGGGGGTACGGTGCGGAGAGCGGTAGCAGCGGGCGAGGGCGTTTTGGGTCCAGATGATGTGGTGGTCTGTTAGGGGGAAGAGGGGTTCAAGAGTGCGGAGGGCGCGGAGGTGCAGAGATTCGGCTTCGGAATGCTTTTGAAGGTGGCGACACACGCGGCCGAGTTCGTTGATGGTGATTATTATGTCGAGGTGGTCGTGGGGAAGAAATCTGGAGAGGAAGTTAGTTTTTTGTGTGTTTGGTAAGAGGGTGAATAGCTACCGAAGTTGGACGGCTAGAGCTTGACGCTGGATAGCTTCCGCGAGGCGAAAGCGTCCTTGCTGATCGTAGAGAATCCCAAGACTGTTCAATAGCCATGTCTTTGACGCTTTTCCAGAACTGGTACCTCCAGTTTTTGTGATTTCCTCTTCAAACACCCGAACTCCCATATCTATTTGCCCACTCATTGTATACAGTCTCGCCAAATCTCGGATGATCATTGATCTTTCGAAGTTGGAGATGATGTTGATATTACCCGGTCCTCCTCGACGTTGTGATTGTATGAAATCGTCCAGTCTAAACAGAGCTTTTTGAATATCCATCAAATCCTCTGCACTTTGCTTTCCAAGGGTACCAGATTGATTCGTCCAAGTTTGGACTAGTCTTTGGAGTTTTGCTATTCGATGCATGGGAAAGGGTAAGTCCTCTGATAGTAACGATCTAGTGATCCAAGCCGATCGTCTTGTTTCGGATGCAACGAACTTTTCATATTGTCGATGCAGCTTCGAATCGTATACAGAGAGAGATAGATGGTAGCACCAGTTTTCGGTGGCATATTTTGCCAAGGGATATTGCTGTGAATTGAGATTGATCGACTCGGCAATCCCCGATTTGCTTAGGTACGTCAATGTTGCTTGTGCTAGTCCAAAGTGCGAGTATTTCTCTTCAAGAAGAAACCCAGTTGCCTGAGGTGATAGTAGGATAAAGTTTGATTGGTCATGAAGATATTCATAGACTGATAAATGGCCAAGATGAAATGTGTCGGATTCAGTTCTGTACTCAACCAAAGGACAACAAGCTTCCAGTACCGAGTCCTTAGAAGGTGCAATGTTCCCATCGAATATCATCCTCTCCTCGTCCCAAGATAATGCACACTGTAATTCAAGCCAATTGAGAGGTCTTGAAGTTCTACATACCCAATTGAATATTCGACGTGCTAAGGATTGGTGCATAATTGGTTTTGATGCCAAACGTTCCAGAATTTGCCCGTATACATTGTAGAGCCCTGTTGGAAGCCTATCCAACGAAGCTAGCATATCCTGGGTACTGAATGTTGCTTGCAGTGTTTCCATTCCTAGTCGAGCGAACAAAAACATGCCCGCAGCTTTCTGGGATAATACATTATAGACATACTGTTTCAAGTGAGATTCCGTACAAGGAAGGGTTTCAATGGCCTCTCTCAAATACTGGTCGATGTCTGACTGTACAGAATTCGCATTGATGTGGATAAAAGGCAACGACCCCAATTCCTTTCGTACTGGTAAGATGTCCCGTGAAAAGAATAATAGACGAACAGAGTTGCGATCTCTAGAAATGCTGTTCAATAAGCGCAACATACCTGACATGTCTTCGGATTCACATTCGTCAACTCCATCTATGATAATGTTCAGTGCTGGTAGCTCATGAAGGACTTCTGTAAGCAATTCCGGAATCCTGTCGGCAAAGGAGATGCGGCATCGTCCATATCTTTCGGCAAAGAGATATGCAGATATCAGTGCTTGTGGAATAACGTTTGCTTGTGCTGTAATTTGACCTAGAAGGCTGATATATATGGATTCCTGAGATTGCTTTAATCTGTCCGTTGAACTACAATGAAAGTATACCGTGGGAGTAGACGCATAATAATCTTGTAAATACTGGATTATAGTGGCACTGAGAATCGTTTTCCCGCATCCTGGAGAACCATAGCACCATAGTATCGGGCCTGATAGTCCATTAAGCCAATTTTGAAAGCTTGTATCAGTGAGTAGCCATTGACCCGTATTTGCCGATCTTTTAGCGCAAGCTTGATGTAAACTCTCGTAGTATTCGCCTGGATATAACCAAGTCATTACTTGTGCTCTAATATCTGCATCTGGATTATTCATCAGCGTGAACCTCGGTAGTTGTCATCAATCATCAAGTGGACTCTACCGACCCTGGTTCTCTAGAGGAAACGAGATTTCCACGACGCCATTTTCGCTCATCAGGGGTTGCTTGACGGCGTAAAATTCCGTATACTGTTCATATGCAAGCGTGGCTTCCTGGGATAATATTTGGGTGGCTCTGAAAAGCCGTTGAACGTGGTTAGTGAACTCCGCGTCGAGAGATTTTAGAACTGTGCGTTCAAGCTTAACTGCTTAGACTGGTCAGTCGACATCTTCGCGGGCTATAGATGTTAGGCAACCTACTCTCTTTGGATAAAGCTGAGCGAACAGTTCTTAAGAAAACAAGGATCTCGAAATACACATCCGCAAGAGCACTGGATACTCGGGGCTCGCTCCCAAAAATGACTTCATATTGAACAGAGATATCCACGATATCGGTTATTTTCAATATGATCCTCGAAACCAATTGATAGTAACGAATCGAGGTGCGTCCAATCTAATTGATATTTAGTACTGATTCCCGGTGAATCAAAATGTATACATGCTTACCTCTAATAAATCTTTCGTTGCACTCCACACTAAAGCAGACGGAGGAGGATAACATTGAATCATCATATCAACAGCCGGTCCGCACATGGTAAGGAAGTCTATTAAAGGGGAGATTTTTCGACTGAAGCATTGTGAGTTATCATTCAATGGATAATAGTTTTCAAGCAATTCGATTTCTTTCATCAAATCTTCGACATTCGCACCCGTGGAATGATTGCCTGCTGATTGTAGTCTATCAACATAATTTTGCAGCGGTGTACCGACTGGCATAAGCTTTGGTTCATTCTCGAGATACATCTCCACTGTCTCTTCTTGCATTGTCGAATAGACCGTGAATTCCAAAAACGAGAAAAATGGCTGTAGTGTTTGTGATTATGTTGTACAAGGCTATATATCACACCTGGTAAAATCAACGTGCAATGGGTAGGTAACGTGATCAAAGTGTATACCCACTGCTCCAAGTTTTACAAGTGAGTGCGTCCAAGCCTGGACTCGAATTCGTTGGAGGCCAAATGTCGATTAGATTTCTTTTGTGTCTGCCGCTGCTGAGTAAAAGCAGGTAAGATAGATCAATGAGGGGTAGATAATTAATGAGGGTGGGTATTGATAAGCGCGTCGCTATGCTCCGACAGTGAAGGTACGAATTAGTTGCAAGGTAGAACAGTTTCTTGTCGAAACATTTGCTCGATATTGCCCCAGACCAAATCACAAAGCCAAAAAAAGAATCTCCACTGGATATCAGATCCTCGAATTGGCAGGATTAATAAAGATTGCGAAAGGATCCTTGACATCCACTTCCGGAGTTGGGGTCCAAAGTTAGCCTCCCATTATCTCCCGTAAGCTTGAACACGAGCAAAGGTACGAACAGGCATTCTGATCCTCCCTCAACTTCAGCTAGAAAATCAATCTCCCGATGACAAGTGGGAATATTATTAAGGTTAATTAACCGCTATATCTTAATTCCAAATTTCTATGCTGTGTTAAGAACAATCCAGAGTCTGAGTGAGACGTTAGTCCAGAGTTTTCATTTAACTTTAGAATAGTTGAGTACACTTGTATGAAGAACCGGAATCATGGTGTGACAGACCTATATGATTTGAACAGTAATGCATTTCGCCAATGCTAAAGAACAATGAATGGAAATCCGATTTAAATTTTTTGCGCCTAATTATCGTATCTACTAACGCCCGTCCGCATACCTACTAACCACATGTGCTCCTCCGCAGAAATAGCCTCATCCTAACACGTGAAAAATTCTTCAACCCAATAAATCATCTAATCCCCCTCCCAGCTTTTGTTGTGAAGTTTGTGGAGGAGCTGATCCTGCTGATGAAGCACCCCAAATACCAGCACTTGCTTTCTCCTTGGCCAGTTGTCCTAAAGCTGGACCTGAAGTTGTGGGAGTGCTAGTCTTCTTGATACCAGCACTGGCGCTAGACCATAAGGATCCAAAAGCATCTCCTCCAGACGACTTGGCAGCTGTAGGTGATTTGGCAGAGGATGTGGCCGACATGGGATTTGATTGTGTGTTGGGGGCTTGAACGGATGTGAAGTAATTCGGTTGTGTACTTTGATAGCCTGTCTGAACTGGGCGTGGCTGTTGAGCCATTGCAGGCGAAGAAAATGCAGGCGGAGAAAATGCAGAATAATTGGCTGGAGTATTGTTGGTGCTTGTTGCTGGTGAAATTGAAGAGAACCCAACTAGATCACTCAAATTCGCAGCTTTTGGCGCCGAGACTGGTTGAGGTGCGGCATATTGCGTATTACTGGTCGTAGTAGCGGAATGCTGTAAGACAGGAGAGAATGTCGCCGGCGCGGCTGGTTGTGCGGGTGTCGCAGACTGGAAATCATCGAAGTCATCATCATCGGCCAAAGCACTCGATGCTGTAGGCGCAACTGCTGGTGTAGATACCGGTATTGGATCATCGAAAGAGAATAAGTCGACTTCTGGTTCCTTCTTCTTTGGAGGCTCAACTTTTTTCGTTGATCGCTCGGTTCCGGCTCTTTTGCGATTGGATGATGCTGAAGAGCTTTCGGCCTGTCTTCGTGACGATGAAGGAGCCGCACCCTCGTCATATTCATCATATTCCTCAAACTTGTCTCTGCGGCTACTACTGCCACCAAAATCCCCTTGATTACCAGAATCTTGGAAATCACTAGTCTGGCCCCCAAATCCACCACCATCTCCATATACACCTCCACTATATCCGCCATAACCACCTTGTTCCTCACTCCCAAATCCTCCGTATCTGCTGGAACCGGACATTCCACCACCTAATCCTGCACCACCTTCAACTCCAGTATATTTGTTTCGAGTAGCTCGTGCTTTCTTTCGTTCCGCCCGAATCCGATCGACATCACTGAGTAGTTCAGCCAATTCCTTAGCTCTGTTTCTCACATTTACACCTTGGTCTTTGCCATTCTGATCGATGAAGTGAAATTGGCGCAACATCTTGAGGAGAGTCAAATGTGATCGCGCATCATCAATAACGCGCTCCGAGCCATTCTTGATTAAGAACTCGAGTAACTGTAATCCTTTGTATATTTGTCTCCATTCCTCGGCAGCCTTCTCCGTAAATCTTTTGTAAATCATAGGCATAATCTCATTGAGTAGTTGACTGGAGCTGGATTAGTGTGCGAAGTTGCTTTTTGATCGAATTGACTTACTAGTTATATGTGCCATTGGCGATCTCCTGCATCACTGTAATACGATATTAGAATTCACAGTTTCGGCATTCGAAACGAACAGATCTTGCGACTAACATGAAGAACTTGCACCCCAGGGCTCATTGTTGGTAGCCTCTCTCACTTTGGCCTCCATCTCAGTATAATTCATCACAGCTACATGATTGTTAGTAAATGGTCGACACAGCCAGCTGTCTACACTGAGCCCTTACCATTTTGTACTTTTCGCACACCCGCCTTCAAATCGTACAACGTCAAATTGGACGCGGCCTCCTTCAAACTGGCAAGATCCATAGCTGGAGTCGTTCAATAGAATTAATGGAATTAATTGATGATATGGAGTTATAGACGCGGGGAAAATTATCTGGATACTGTATGGAGATGCAGAAGTCCCATGTGTCCTAGAACGGCGGCCGATCTAAGTTGACACTAAACTTGGAAAGGATGCTTGGTCACGTGATCTGCGCCTAAGTTGATATTAACATCTTCTTGATGAGTAGTTGAGATAGCAGCTACCTATTATTTTCTTCATGTTTTCAGCACTTCCATTCCGTTCCTATGTCAAGACCTGACTGACTAATGGCTCTACGAGAGTAATGATTGTACTGATGCCGAAGAATCATGGCAGAAGTACGTAAGGAAGCGGTGAAGGACCCTTGCTCTTATCTCATCAGTCGGGGGAAATTCGCTACAAGGGAAAAATAAGAAGTTTAAAATATCTTCAGAGGTTACGTTCTAGCGGAGGAAAGCATCCATAGACCAGGTACGACGTGGTACAATCGGCGTAGTATTCGTCAATCTTCTATGTCCTCCCCCTCCCCCGATCAATTGCATCTGACCGTGTTTTCTTCGGTATGAAAAGAAACATCCTTCACCAAACCAAATAAGGTACGTTGCTGAGATAACCCCGAGCAAACTTGCAGGAGTGAGACCTGCAGGTCAAGCACATCTTTCGTGTTTCATTGCACGCTTTTGAATGATTGGGGAATTGGGTCATTGAGTTTGCAAAGTAACCCGCATCCCGCCTCTTGTGTGCTGCGGTTTTTGCCTCCCCTCCAGCCGAGAAAAGAATAGGTAAAGGCGTCATGTCATCCTCAACCAAATGCGCGGCGTCTCCTGATTGGATTTTCCGTAATGGTACATTCCAAATCGACCCAAGTACTACCAGTAGACCGAGAAAGTTCGGATCGTCTAGACTCTATCTTTCCCGCAGCTGCGAAACGCCGGTGAATATGGATTGAATGATGATATAATGCGTCTGAAAAGTGGCTATAAGAGGCGACGCTCTAGTCTGAGTGATAATCGACATTTAATATGTACCTGGCGATACTTTAACTGGGATCAAGATTGACCTCGATTAGAAAGTACTACTGTGGTTAGATGCGTATATACGAAGTAGAATGAAAGAAGCAGTGATGTATCGTAGAAAGAAATCCGAAAGATGTTCTTTTTTTTGAAGAATATCTACTTGAATCACAACCTAGTCGTCTCATGATAGTTTTATCTCTGTTTACATACTTCTATTTATCTACTGGGTATTCAATATATACAATACCGTACGTATATATCGGATCTATTAGAGTTCTCATTCTCTACTCGAGGGGAGCTACTCTCTCTACCTAGGTACATACTACATACTACATACATACTACGTACTAGTAACCTCATATCCCTACCTTTGCTGAGCTCACCCTACCCCACCTGCATTACTTGTTTTCTCTTCCCCCTCCTTCCGATCGATTCCTTCTCTTTCCCTTCCATTCATTCTAACCAATCCTTTCCATTCACAACTTACAACTTACAACCCGAAGAATATCCCTGAACAATTCACCTCATTTTCTTGATTTGCTTTGGTATTAGTACGCTCACTCTCACTTGCTCCAATTGCTATCATTCGTGCTACGGCAACTGCTACTACCACCTTACTACCTCATCTTCCCTTGCCTTGCTTCCCTCTCACACACACACTCATTTCCACGCACGCCTCATATTCACCTTTTTTATTACCCTGCCCCACCAGAGAACTAATCCAACCAATTAGGGAGCTCCTCGCAACTTCGCTAAAAATGCTATTCGTGCCCCGCACTGCTTCTGCGTTGAAAAGCACTTCGCTGCCCCTCCTTCGCAACACCTTCATCAACAACTCTTTCAACTCTATCTCTTCAAGACAACTTCACGCAACTAAATTAAATATGGCCATTTCAACGTACGTTCTTATCTCAAAACTTCATCAATGTAACTTCATTGAAGCTCACACCTTAATAGTTTCTTCGATGTTACCTGGGAGGGTCCAGTCCTTGACGCTTCCGGAAAGGCTACCTCTACTGTCCAAGGCAAGTGATACAATCACCATCTCTTAATCCATTTTATATCAACTTCATTATAACCTCAATCACTTTTCATCACAACATGAATCTGCGCATCTCTTATTGCGCCAATTGAGCTCTTGTTGAGCTCTAAAGCCAGATTTTGTTGATTTTGATTGTCGTCATCTTTGCCCCACCTTCCACTTCCCCTCTTGGTTTCCGGAGCTGACATATACTTTTCTTATCACAGAGCAATCTGGAAGAATCAAGTTCAACCTTTACGATGATGTAGTCCCAAAGACCGCCGAGAACTTCCGTGCTCTCTGCACTGGTGAGAAGGGCTTCGGATATGAGGGTTCTTCCTTCCACAGAATCATTCCTCAATTCATGCTTCAAGGAGGTGACTTCACCCGTGGCAACGTACGTTACAAATACTCGATTCAAACATTTCATCAAACGCAAAGCTAAGAATAATACAGGGTACCGGTGGAAAGTCAATCTACGGTGAGAAGTTCGCCGATGAGAACTTTGAGCGAAAGCACACCCGTCCAGGTCTCCTCTCCATGGCTAACGCTGGACCAAACACGTAAGTTTACAAATTCCGTCTGAGCTTTCACAATAGTTCAATCAGCTAATCACTTTATAGCAACGGATCCCAATTCTTCGTTACCACCGTTGTTACCAGCTGGTTGGATGGCAAGCACGTCGTCTTCGGTGAGGTCGCCGATGAGGAGTCCTTGAAGATTGTCAAGGCCCTCGAGGCTACCGGATCCGGCAGTGGAAAGGTTCAATACAACAAGAAGCCAACCATTGTCAAGTCTGGACAACTATAAATGCATTTACTAGCGAGTGTACCGGTGGCAGGTGGTTTTTGAGCCCGACATCGTTCGGTGATCTTCATTATGATTAGCTATCTGGCGGAATGAATGACGAAAAGTAATGCAACGGATTTTACTAAATAATTCTGTTTTCTCAATGTGATGTCTACCTATGTGATTAGAGGCCTGAATTTTGATGCTTCCCATTTGTGGTATCTCTCCTGAACTCCAAAGCCGGCCGTCGCTATGCTATGTAATAGAATCCTATCCCAAATAACCATTTTCGCCCTAAATATTCAACCATGTTTGAAAGTATTCACAAGTGCTTGGTCCTACCGGCCCACCCTCTTCACACAGATCGGCAACCGGACAGTGTCCACACGGAACATCCGTCAAGGCACTAAATGGACCACCTTCCTGTTCCTCCCTAAATCCTTTCCTTACAGCCCTATAGCAAACACCTTCTGGACCCGCAAGAACCCTCTCAATCTTATTATCAAAAATCAATATGTCCAGTAATTGCTGAATGTCCGGAGCAGTCAAAGTCATAGCTGTAGCTCCTGAATTCTCAATGAACGATGTGAGTTCATTGAGGGTTGGATATCCTTGGTAGCCGGGTGGCATAGGTAATAGAGCATCGTAGTGTCTTCTAGCACCATCTATGGCATCGTCCTCGGTAACATCTTCGATCTTGACTCGGGATCCTAAAGTTTTGTCTCTCAATGCTTTTGCTTCATCCGTGGACATTTTCTTTCCCATAACCTTCTTTGGCCTCCTCAAACTTGCCGAACTAGATTTATAGAAAGATTTCCTGTGGATGTGATCAAATAGAATATGCGAGATCTGTGTGATGAACTCCTCGTCTAGTTCATTGTCGGTATACCATGCTCCACCAGTGGCTCGATCGGAAGGTTGCAGACTGGATTTGATGTACATTTTCCTATTACGCGCCTCTACAGATTTCATTTCTGAGATCAAATGTTTGGTCTCGAGATGCTTGAGCGCCGTGCGAAAAACTGCATCGTGAAGATTGGACCGAGCCTTGATGGTTTTGGTCCATATTCCTTCTTGACCGGCTTCGTCGATGAGAGCGTAGACAATTTCTTGTTCCGAGGAAAGGCTACGATAACTATTGTTCGGGGACTAATTAGCATTTTACTGGCGATTCTGATTTTGCTTGATCGCAAGATTAGACGTAAAAGGCAAAGGGAATTCCTACTTCTTAGCTTCCTCTTGAGTACGCAATTTCCATCCAATTCCCCTCTGCGAATCCTGAACCACCTTGAACAATTTATCATTTGTGAGGCCCTGAGTGACGGCCAACAGCATAGCCACATCATCATTAGGTAGAACTTTGAGTTCGAACAAGTCGTCTTGGAAAAAGGTCGGATTATCTTCGAAAGATTCAAAACACTCGTCATAAAGGACTTTTTTCAAGGCTGCGATTTTATCATCGGGCGCTGACACCGCGGTCGCTGCTCGTGAAGACATGATGGGTTATGGTTGTGCGAATGGGAAGCTGAAGATTGTGCTACCGATGTTGACGTAACATTGAGGAATTATGTAGGGAATCGAGGTTGCTGTTTGAGTGGTGGAATTGAATTGTAGAAAGGTTGTTCTCGAGGGAAATAAATTATTTTTGGAGGGGGACGATAGACGAGGCTAGAATTGATAAAATAAAAAATCGCGCCTTGTCATGTAACCAATTATTAGGCTAGATTACTAAGCGGGTCTGGAGTTATATGGTGACTTCAATATCAATATCGATAATTGAGTTCTGGATCTTTGTTTGCTACTTTTTCTGTGATCTTCACTATTCGTTTTTATCGTTGGTCTTGATGAGATTGAACTGATTCTGTAGTGAATAGTTTCAAGATATTCTTGGGACCACCAGTACATGTATTACTCGTGTAGGGTGATATCGAATCTATGTACACTATCCACGTCTCAACATCTGGATACATATTCATCGATACATTGGATACATTATAGCAATAGTTGGAGCTCAAACGATAACGGAAGATTCATGAGGATTTTGTGAGATAAGAGTCATGGTCCAAGATTGGATTGAACAATGGAGCTCAAATGCGTGATGTTGAATTGTAGAATGAAGGATGTAGTCTAAATATCTAAGTGGTATATCTGTATTGTGGAACGATCTCAGTCCTCGGTCATGACTTAACAAGTCTACAAAGCACAAGCTGATCTACTAAACATCGAGTTCGTACCATACAATTGCAGTGAATAGCTGCAATGGGCAGGTGTTGTGGATGCATGCAAGGCCAATCGATTAATTGGTCAGCATACCTACTTGCTGACGGAATCTTGTCTAAACATCAACCACATCTAACAAGTTTGAAACACGACATTTCTCTTGCTGGTGGAACCATGGCAACTCCTATTACTGGTTTCCGTTTGGTAAATGGTAGCACCTTGCCAGCCATTGGTCTAGGAACCTTCCAAGGCAATGATGGAAATGAGAAAGTAAAGAATATCGTGAAGGCAGCGATCCAGGCTGGATATCGACATATCGATGGCGCAGCAGCTTATGATAATGAAAAGGCCATTGGAGATGCTATCAAAGAAAGCAGTATCTCGAGAGATGAGTTGTTCATCACCACTAAACTGTAGCGCCATGAGAATTTGAGCAAAAGCGATGCCTGCTGATTTTGTTAAGAGCTCAATCATGACATGAGCCTAAAGACGTTGAGCGTGCGTTAGATTTGAGTTTGAAAGCTCTGGGCTTGGAATATGGTAAGTGATGCACATCGAAAATATACTTAATTATACTAATATCACAGTAGTTGATTTATATCTTATGCATTGTCAGTAATTATCAGGTCCCCTAGACAAAAAACCATAGACTGACGATTGATACTCAGTCCCCCATGCCTACCTTCCAGGTCCGAATAACGGTACGATTCGACATCCCAGCGGCAATGAAAAGGTGAAGTCTAACGCATATTCATGAAAATTGAAGACCGCTAAGCAAATTCAAGCCAGTGATTGATTATGAGCGATCTCGCAAGTACACAGAAACTTGGCAAGCAATGGAGAAGCTAGTAGAAAGTGGTAAAGCGAAAGCTATTGGTGGGATATAAGCCTTTCTGGTAGATCAGAATGAAAATTAACAACTTTAGGCTTATCCAATTTCAACATCCTCAAAACTAAACAAATCTTGGAGGTTGCGAGAATCCGTCCTGCGGTCAATCAAGTCAAGGCGCATCCGTAAGTTCTGAAATATTTCTTCTAACAACAGTCAAGCACTGACGACGTTCATGTGTAGTTACTTTCCCCAGCATGAGCTTCTTGAGTTTTGCAAGAAAGAGCACATCCATCTCATGGCCCACCAGCCGCTAGGAGGAAAGCCTGTTGGGGTGGTGGCTCCTCATGCCGACATTCATGGACCTCTTTTTGATACAAAGGTGAATATTGAATAAAGCTTTACTTAAATAACATATAATTAACGATGATAGATTGCTCAGATTGCCGATCAAACTAATATGTCCCCGGCACAGGTCATTCTATCATGGGCCGTCCAGCGTGGCACTTCAGTAATACCAAAGACTTCTAATGAGAGTCGGCTCTCTGAGAATCTCAGTGTTGCGCCACTAAGTGAGGAGCACTTTGCAATCATTGATGACTTGACGACAACCATTGAGAGTGGACCTGTGAGATATTTAGACCCAGGCAAACATTTGGGTTTTGATATTTTTGACGAGGAACTTGATCAGCCGGTAGATAATCAAGCTCCTTGGGATTAGTGGAAGAAGAGGAAATTTCATACACTGTTTATTTTACGATACAAAAAACATTACACGAGGTAAAACACCCAGAGCCTCAACTCTTCACGCAGGAACCAACATATTGAATAGCAAAGGATGATATAATCAGCTATTATCAACAACTAGTTTAGTCATTTCCTGTCGGGACATTGATCATGTGATCAAAGAGGGCACTGTATTAGCTAGCGTCGCGCTAGCGCTTCCCTATATTAAGTACTAGCTTCCCATAGATAATAATGATCAAGAACAATACAACCACAATAGAACTAAGTACTTACACTTATCAACCAAGTTGATACCAACATTTCCTATAGTTGTGAAGCGATAAATACTTCACATGATTTTAATCACAATAGATCTTGCTGGATTAGTTATATCGGTACCTCATGATCAGCTCCATTGTGACGAAAACATTGGAACTCCCTTTGAAAATAAACTTCAATGCAAGATCGGATAGGGATCATTCTCTAATATCTCAACATAACACCATCTGGGAAATTCATCACTTCAAGATATCATCGAGAGAATAGTTCTCGAGATGATATGATGCAGAGGAAGCTGGAATCAATATGTTTTGGCAGAACTTTAAGCGCTCGCTACACAGCTTCTTTACAACCGTAGTAATCCTACAATAATTGCAGTCCAAGTTTCTTCGTGTTCTATGCTTTATATTATACTACCTATATACCCCTATTGATAGCCAAAATCCCAACAGATTTGTAAAATTTTCTAGATGAATGTTGACGCGAACGTCTTCGAGAATTATCTGACATAAATTTGTGAGGAAAGTATAGGCTTTCAAGATTTAATTTTTTGATAGAACTCATTGAATCAGTCAGATAGCACAAGAGCCCGATGTTCAAAATAGTTGGCAACATCCTAACAGGTATGGAGTTGGAAATCGTAAAACATATACGTTCGAAAAAGTGTCGTTTTTCAACCGCGTCTGGGGACTAACACGACATGAAGCTCTGGGTCAATCTGGCACAATAGTAGATCAATGCCTGTATCTGTTTGGGACATTCAATAGCGACACCGTACTGGTCGGGTACATCAACTACACGGCTTCATCTGTTTGGGAATTTGAATAAATAAGAGGTGGGAACCTAAGGTTATCAGGTAATGTATTAACCAATGCTAGACGCGAGATCTCAAATCTTCGTGGTCTAACATTGTGTTGCAGATACAGTGACTGTGAGCTTTCCAAAACAGATATAAGTGTCGAACTATTTCAAGCTTCGAAACCAGATGACAATCCTTCAGGGATTTCTCTACCAAATACTTCATATCTTGTATAATTCTATGTCATTCATTAGAGCTTAATCGTCAAGAGTCGACACCCAAGAATATGTACTCGCGACTCTCGATGTCCTAGGACTGTAGGGAAAAGACTTGCAGCATGCAGATTAAAGCGTAGAGAGTACAGAACAATGCAATCTTGATAGTCTTCTTGAGGCGAAGCCTTTGGAATATAGGCATGATAAGCATCAAAATATGCCTTTGAGAACTTATTACGCTTTGCTCGCCAGTTACCTAGTTCATCTATATTACCATATCAGTCAGCAACTTAGCTATTATTGATAACGTCTTCACGTGAATCTGCAATAGTGGGTACTTACATTCGTTGTGAGCATAGAAGCATCCAGGATCGAATATTACAGCTTTGTCTTCGAGAGTATTGACACCAGCATTTCCATACCACAAATCTCCATCTATGTGAATTGCAACTTAGTAGAAGTTCACGAAGATGCGTTTGAAACGATTATATGTGAAGGTTGATTGACTTACGAACTAGACTTGGTCTGATATTTGCCTCCAAAGGTCTCGGCAGTCGAGGAATGACCTTCTCAAAGAAGGCAGGGAGCAGAGCGTCTAGCTCCTCACTCGGCCCTGCACGTGCTTTATTCATATCCAACATATGGCGAAAACCAGCTGCGAAGAAAGATTCGCAGCTATCAGGATAGTCATTTTTCTGTGGGAGGTCACCATTGAATGTCACTGTGTGGAAGCCGTATTTGCGATTTGGAGAAACAGAATTCCTATGGAGCATAGCAATCTGTTCACAGAAATGTGTGGGCTCTACCAATTCATCTATGATAGGTAGATATTGGCCAAGGTAAAAGTGACAGTCTGGCTTGCCCTTCATTGGTCCTTGGGCGATTGGTGGAGCTATAAACTTTGGAGTGACTTTTTGTATAGCCTTCATCGACTCAAATTCTCCAATTATAGAAGCTCGACCTAAATCGCCAACTGCTGTCTGGAAAGCACATTAGCATCTTCAATATACCAAGACTCGCCCAAATACCTTCAAATAGTAGTCTTGATCCTTCCTGTCTTTTAGTGTTGTTGAAATCCTTAGTTTAGTTGCCCAAGGGGAACCACCCAAGACATAAATATGGAGCACTTTTTCGACATCAGGAATTTCTGCATGATATGTTAACTGATATATGCTAGTTGCTTTCTTGTCTTGTTTCCAGTCTGATAACCTATAGTCAAATGCACAATGAACATTCCACTCTGGAGCTGAAAATGTATTGCATTTCTAGTTTGCATTTTTGAAACATACATTTACCCACGTGGGATTCAATGGCAGGAATATGCCTTCTCAATCGTGTACTTCGAGTTTTTTTGTTATACTCGCTGAGACGAGGCCGAATACAGAGGTCTCTCCAGACAAGAATGAACATACCAGCAAGAATGTTTGGATCAAGAATATTCTCAGGAATTAAAGTGGGTTCCATTGTGGTTGTGAAGGTAAAGATGCAATCAAGATACAAGCAAGCGACTAACTTCCAAATTCCTTCTCGATCAATTTTTACTTGATTCTCTGAAAATCGAGGGGTGGGCTATACAGCAAGAATGATCAAGGTTGGCGGTTACATGCATTCCAATTTCCACTTGATACAACTCCATGGGAGGCTCAGAAAATTTGACAGCCAGTCATATTCCTGGCTGCGTATTCAAACTATGCAGTGAATTCATAATCCTCTAGACAATATGCGGCACACTCTTCTTTGATTCGTATACAAGGCTTGAAGTTTTCAAGATAAATGGTGAGATTCAATAACAAGGCATTAAGCATTAATGATAAGAATCAATTACAAGACGAGGAAGGCAGCGTGAGAAGGTAAGATCTTACTTTAGATATTTAGTACTGTACCCCAGCACATTTAGTTTCCCGTTCCTCACTCACTTTCCCAGCGCCAGCGCCTCCCACTTATCACCCCGCTTTTCTCATCAACTCTGATTACGAGGTATCGATGGAAATGATAAACCTTGATTCCGATTTAAACACCGTATTGAATTTCAATACCATTTCCCCTTGATATTATATTCCAGACGCGTTCGAAAATTAGCGACATGATAATATAAAAACCTTGTTTCTACCCGTAGGGCAAATATCACGAAGCGTGAAACCTCTGTATGACCACGACACATGTCATGCAGATAGATATAGCCGCCAAATTGACGACGGAAAAGACTAGAAAGCTTCAATAGAATGTCTTCTTTGTTTTCTCTCCGGGGTTCATCGACCGGGTGGATAGAGAGCCTCCTATCCGGAAAGACTTCAAGCAAACATCCGAATATTTTGGAAATCACAAGTAAGAATGCTTAATATGCACTTACTCGCAGCACTAGCTCTGATAACGCCTCACGTTTGAGTCTCGCTTGCTGAGAACGAATGGATATCTGCAAGTTGAGGTTGGTTGCTAATACTTGTTGATCACCCAATCATGGGCCGGCGCGTGTGGGACTGAACCACATTTGATGATTACTGCATTACCATTATGGCAATCAAAGCTATCTGAGCCTCAATCATCAAGCTTTTGGGTTCTTGCTCTTAATCCTCCTGCGTTTTATAATGCTTCAGAATCAACGAACGCAAAAGTGGGATTGAATACCTGTGTTGCACTCGAGCATTGCAAAGTTCGAAAAAAAAAACAAAAAAAAAACAATTTGAACACATGTGGCACTACTGATGATCATAACAAGTGCAATTGAACCATCACATAAGCCTTATCATCTGGACTTTTGCTCTAGTCTTCTGTTGGATAATCCAGCATATGGAGTGCTAAAAGTATCAACGCGTAATGTTGATTCAAAACGAAATGGACCAGGTTGGTGATCAATCCCGCAGAACCCCATTTCGATCCATCATTTACATTCTGTTGACAGCTACGGAAACATCACACGAGCAGTCATGACTTGAATTACATCGACAGAGCCTTGAAAGGGGTATCATTTGGCCATAGTAGCAAAAGCTCCCGTGAAACAGCGACTGACCTGAAGGGTCCCTTGGGACTCAATCTACTTCACACACCCTCAGAACCGCTAATAGATTTCATATTTGTTCATGGGTTGGGCGGTGGATCCAGAAAAACTTGGGCGAAATCAGAGGATGTATACCATTACTGGCCTAAAGAACGGCTACCTCGGGATCCCGACTTCAAAAACGTCAGAATTTTTTCATTTGGATACAGTGCAGATTGGACAGTTAGGAGCGGGGATGCACTCGACGTTAGCGATTTCGCGCAATCGCTACTAGGGGAACTCAACACATGTCCAGAGATTCGTAGGAGCAAGGTAAAACCTTTTGACAGGATCCAAATACCTTGCTGATACTTTTCTTAGACAAAAATCGTTCTTGTTGGTCACAGCATGGGTGGCTTGGTCATAAAGAAGGCAAATAACAATATCCACGGTTATGACTTTCCATGAACTGACTTACTCAGACATATTTAATGGCTATAGAGGATCCGGCAATGCAAGACCTTGTCCAGCGAGTTGATACCATGTATTTTCTTGCCACTCCACATCGAGGATCGAATCTTGCTGCGACACTCAACAACATTTTGGGGATATCGTTTGGAGTCAAACAATTTACGATCAACTTGGAGATGAGTAGTAAGATGATAGCCAGTATCAACCAAAGCTTCCGTCATTGTTCTGAAAACTTGCATATATGGTCCTTTTATGAGACTCAAGAGACGAGTTTCATAAACGCAAGAATCGTCGAGAAAGAATCTGCGACGCTGGAATGGCCAAAGGAAAGAATTGCTTACATTAATGCTGATCATCGAGGAATATGCAAGTTTGATTTACCTTTAGATCCTAATTTCAAGACTCTTAGGAATGCATTTACCTCTACCATCGATCATGCCACGGCGGAGAGTAAGCTAACCTATGTTCTTACACTTTCATCTTCCTGATTTATGATTGAAGTTCTAAGAATTCAGCGTGGGACTATATCAGCTGAGCGGCATTGCCTCTATAGCCTATTGGACATCAACGATGTTCCAGAAGACGATCTAATAGTGGCTCGCGATGCAAAGATTGGAGGATCGTGCAAGTGGCTGACTATGACTCCAAAGTTCACCAGCTGGCAAGATCCTACTTCAGACACACCTTCAGTCTTTTGGCTGAGTGGAAATCCTGCATCGGGAAAATCAGTTCTTGCTGGGCACGTTATTGACCATTTGTGTCAAAGTAATCTTGCATGTAATTACTTTTTCTTTAAAGATGAAATTGCTGCTCGTTCATCGGTTGGCTATTGTTTGCGTAGTTTTGCGTTCCAAATGGCCTTACATAGTCCTGAAATTCGCAGGTTTCTCTTGGATGTGGAATCAAATGGGACTACGTTCAATAATAACGACGAGATTGTGATTTGGAACAAACTATTCGTCAATGGGATTCTTCAGCTTACGATGGAGGTTAACCAATATTGGGTTCTCGATGCACTCGACGAGTGTGCTTGTTCCCAAGCTCTCATCCCTATGCTAATCAAGCTCGTCAACTCTGCAAGATCTCGGTTTCGAATTTTTATTACAAGTCGTCATAGCCAGGCTTTGGATAAGGGATTTCTAGGCCTTGGTAAAAATCTAATCAGTCAGGAACTCTGTTTCTCAGATACGATGGGAGACATTAAACTATTTTTGGAAGCTCATATGGATAGCCTTCCTTTGGATACGCTCCCCAAACAGGAGGAGTTGACCGCACGAATACTGGCTATGTCTTCTGGGTCTTTTCTTTGGGTGCAACTTGTCATGCAAGAGCTTTCTGAAATCTACAGCGAAGAAGATATCGAGACTGTTCTCTCAGATATACCAGCCGATATGAATCAATTCTATACAAAAATTCTGAGAAATTTGTCAAACGATCGTAGAGGAGCGAAATTAGCCAAAGTCATCTTTACGTGGATAGTTTGCTCGTATCGGCCATTGACTATCACTGAGATGCAATGCGCTTTAAAGCTAGATTCGAAAAGCACAGTCAACAGCTTACGAAGAGACATAAGTTCTATCTGCGGCCAGCTTGTGTTCGTCGATGATCAATCACGGATACACCTAATTCATCAAAGCGCCAAAGATTTCCTTCTCCAAGAAGACTTCTGTTCCAATTTCTTTGTAGACAGAAGAGAAGGACACTACCGTCTTGCTGCTTTGTTCCTTGATGTTTTAAGTAAGGGCTATCTACGGGCTTTTCGAGTTAAAAGATTCGAGATATCAACTACTTCGGCAAGTCACGAAGCCATGTTACTTGATCACGCTTATACTTTCTTCTCTGAGCACCTATATCAATCTTTATCTTTGTGTGCTGAGCTTTTTCAAAAGCTCCACAAATTCCTTGATACGAATGTTTTATGGTGGATTGAGACGGTTGCAAGGACAGGGAACGTCAATGATATAAGCCGTGCTGCCAAGAACATGAAAGCTTACCTCGATCGTCGTGAGATGCATTTCCCTCCTATCGATGAGAAACTCTGTGAGGTGGATTCCTGGATCACAGATCTTATTCGTATCGGCACAAAATTTCGAAACGTCCTTCTAGCATCGCCTTCATCAGTCCGTAGCCAAATTCCAGCAATGTGCCCTTCGCAATCAATCGTTGCTACAAAACAAAAGCAAGTGAAGAACAGCTTTAGAGTAGTAGGGTTATCTAAGGGGACATGGGATGACTGCTTGGCCCAAATCGACTACAAGGGGCAGGGTCTACAAGCCATTACACTTATACATGGAGAACATACATTTGCTGTTGGGTTATCGAGCAGGCAAATAATAGTTTATGACAGTGCGACAACTCAAGTCAAATGTACCTTCGATCACGGCGAGAAAGTGAAGGAAGGTCCTTGCGTTCGGAACCAAAGATATATTTCTTGCATCCGCTGGAATGCGCTCGATACGAATTTGGGATCTCGAAACGGGAGGCATGAAGTGTTCATTCCAACTTGGTTATCGAACAGTGGCCCTTAAATTTACTCCTGAAAATCAAGGTTTAGTATTGGCAACATCTGAGAATTTTGTTTCTTGGTTGGATATATCAAAAGAGGAGGAAAAAGATCGCATATTCTGGCATGAATCGAATGATGATAGAAAAGAGATAATTCAACAACCGCCAATCGAGGTTGTCATCTAACCGGATCTAGAGATGATTGCAATTAGTTCTAGGGCAAGTCCTATACTTCTCTTTGATTTGTTTAACGAAGTAATGTGTGGTGAACATGTTCGAGATCGAGAGCTCATGGAAAGTGTGGGTGGTACATACTATCACACATCGGTCATGGCTTTCAATCCAAGTCCCGAAATCAACTTACTAGTCGTCTCTTATGGAGATGGAGAGCTTGTTGTATTTGACCCAAGAACAAATGAGCTTAAGCATCGTATCCCAGAAGTTCATGCCCAAACATTAGCTTGCTCTCCCGATGGCAGAACGTTGGCAACAGGCAGTCCTTTTGGTACAATTCGGCTCTTTGAATTTGACGGCACAGAAGATGCAAATCTATCTTTGATATACCGAATCAATGCATACGATGAAGGGGTCCGATCGCTGGTTTTCACTGGTGACGGCTTACGTTTTATTGACATTCGTGGTTCCCTTTGCAGAGTATGGGAACTTGCTGCACTCGTTAGAAAACCATTTAGTGACGGTAACAACATCGACACAGGTGCGCCAGAAAGAGCGTTGGTTGAGACTGTGGGAATGATTGAAGGAATTTTGAAGCCTGACATAGCGGCAATCGCAGTAGGTTCGAGTGGAGAATGGGTTTTCTGTGGTAGACAGGATGGCTCTGTTGCTGTCTATAATACGCAAGATGGCCTCGAGAATACACGTCTCCACCAACATGCTACGAATATTTCAATTACCAGAATTGTGTGGGGAGATGATACTCGCATACTAGCCACAGCGGATGAGTCTGGTCGTATGCTCATACAAAGACTAGTGGAGTCTAGCAATATATGGTCACTCTCCGAAACAATTTTCGACTACCGCTTCCCTGATGCTATCACAGGGCTATCGTTCAATCCGGAGAACAATATCCTTCTCGTTACCACTGCCAGCTTCAGGTACATTTGGACAAGCAAAAGTGGAGACATTCAACATCGTGTATCCACTGGCCACAATCTCGAGAATTACAAGATAAATACTCACACCCAAATATCAGATGCATTCATTGCCTTTTATCCTAGTTGTGCCCGAATATTCGAATGGGGAAGTTTGAAAGAAATATCAGACCCTGATGGCATCAAACTTGACTTCCCTGACGTAGCGTCATTCCCAGTGACAATAACCGAGTCGGTCGAAAGCCAACATACCCTGGTTACACTGACGAAAAGTCGATTCAAACAAACACTTTCTCAACTTCGATGTTGGGACACGTCCACTATTGACCGCCACTCGACAAATATAAAAGCATTTCCTGGTCTTGAATCTCTTGGTCCATACATCTACCACATCATTGGTTTGAGCGACAGAAATTTGTTCTTCTTAGCAACTGATCTTTGGGTCTGCAGTCTAAATATAGAAAAGTTCTGGTTGTCCCCGGATGTGAAACGCCATTTCTTCATCCCGGCCGATTGGATTCATCCTACGGACGAAATGCAGTTTTACTTGTCAGCCAAGGAAGAATTTATCTTCGTAAAGAAAAATGAGCTAGCGATCATCAAACGAGGGTTAGATTCACCACAGATAATAAGGCCACTGCAATTCCTACCTGGAAAGAAACTTTTCGGAGCTTGCTATACTGGTAATTAGACATTTTCATCACATTAGGAATGCATTGACGAGACAAAATTTCGATCTTTCTACAAACTCTTGCGCGTATGAATAGGGACACAACTTTGAGTTCAAGCTCTCTAGGGAAATTTAGAGGTATACAAATCTTGGATGGACCAAGCTGCATTTTCTAGGACACGATTGATTGGATTATATTATTCGAGTTAGAGCCGGGCAACAAGCATATATTGTGCGATTTGACCTAAACGGATGAGGGTAGGATATGAGATTACAATTCTGAAGAGAACAGCGGTAGTGCCTTGTATGATTTGAAATCTGGCCAACATAAACAATGAGCTGAACTGGAATTTTACTTGGGTATCAACCATGCGTCGAGACGAGATGAATGGCTCTGGGAACAGATCAGAAATAATCGTGCTGAAATCTCCGAGTGATCGGTGACACGATATCCAACAGGGATATTCCATTTGAACGCTCTGGTGAGAGATCTCTGCTGTTATCGGCGGTGATCATGGCCCTGAAATGTCTGCCTAATCAGACCTCGGCGACAATATAGAAACTTCCCATTTCCGCTAGCTTTCAATTCTTGACCTCCAGCATAACCCAAATTCTCACTTTCAGTACACTAACACCAAAAAGTGAATCATAACAACGCAAGCACTAGCATGCAGCCCATCCACTGCTCTCTTGACACAACATCGAGTCGAAGCCCCGAGAACGCGTTTTTGACAAGGAAGTCCAAACTCATCACATCTCGATAGGTATCGAGAACGACAAATTTCCCATCTGATCTATGAATGCAATAGAACCATGCAATATCGCAGCATCCCACCTCCCAGGCAAAACTCATAGCGCATAAGCATGCTCAGCTCCATATTGACTCAAACGGTGTTCGCTCTCAACAACAACCGCCAACACGCCCGTTTGGCTTAGCGGTAAAGCGCATCACTAGTACTTGTTCCCATGTGATAATGATGAGATCCTAGGTTCGATTCCTAGAACGGGCAACCCACGCCGTCGCCCAGCGACAACAAGCCTTTTGCCAACCCAGACCATTTTTCTCAAATTTTAGCAACTCTCAAAACGCTTGTTTTCAAGTGCGCAGTCAGGAACGAAGACGATTCGAGAAAGAGACAAAGAACTGGAAAGGCCAGAACCCATCTTTTTAGGTAATGGAACAGTGAGTGTGGGTAAATGGTGGAGAGGTAGTGGGTTGGCGATGGATAATTTAGGGCTGTGGGGTGGGTGGAAATGTGTAGGTAGTCCGAGCGGTGAGAATTTTGTGCAATTTATTTTGTGGTGGGGGTTTATGATTTGGTGGGGAATGAATGAATGAATGAATAGTACCGCAACTGTAGATAATGTTGATTGATATGGGGATTCATTGTTAAAACGATATTATAGTAATAGAGAATAAATGCAATTGTGGTACTGGAAATCTGGAAATCATTGATGGATCTGTGATTGGTTCAACCAACACATTAATTGAATTCAGTTTTACTAGACGAACGAACAGTCGAATAGATAATAATTGACTTTATTGCGATATGTGTCTTTCAACCACTTTTGAAATACCTAGTCATGGGGTGCATGCAACTTTGATTTCAAATGATGTGTTAAAGTTCGAGGATTTGTGGTGGGAGGGAGCAAAACGCTGAGTTTAGATTTGGCTTTGGCGAGAGTATCAAGTGTTTGACGTTGGGAGAGAGTGTCTGTGGGAATGAATACTTATTCAGAAGATCTGGATACACTCAAGCACAGGAAGATAAAGCGTCGTGGAACTTCACGAGCTCCGGTCAACATTCTAGATTGAACAATGTTTTGCGGGGGTGGAGGTGCATATGAAATTGTATTTGGGTATATATTTTTTAGATAATTATTTCATAGCTTTTCTAGCGCATTATATATATATATATGTGTGTGTGTGTTGTTTACTATGAAAGGTATTAGTACCACACTTCAAGAACGACTCAGTGAATAAAACTTACCTCGGAATCAGCAATCTTAAGAACCGCCTTTCCAAAGTTCTTTCCTGCAAGCATACCAACGAATCCCTCTGGTCCATTATCGATTCCGTCAGTAACGCTCAAAGAAGCCTTGAAGCTTCCATCCGCCAACCACTTGGCAACATTCTCATCTCTTGCCTTGACATGTAATGGACCCATGTTAGCATCAGAAACGATGAAACCTCTCATTGTGATTCTCTTTGCAACAACGTTCATCAAATTCTTGATGGGGTATCTGTCGGCTTCTGGTTTGCTGTACTCGCTAATCATACCGCACGCAACGATTCTACCGTGATCGTTCATGGCGTTGATAGCAGCTTCTAATTGTTCTCCTCCGACATTCTCGTAGTAGATATCGATGCCGTTTGGTGCAAGACGCTTGAGAGCATCTGCTGGCTTCTCAGTCTTGTAGTTGAAACCGCCATCGAACTTCAATTCGTTGATGATGTAGTCTAATTTGTCGTCAGAACCAACGGATCCGATAACCTTGAGGCCTTCGTGCTTGGCGAGTTGTCCAACGAGGGCTCCAACGGCTCCAGAAGCGGAAGAGATGAAGATGGTCTCGCCCTTGACAGGCTTGCCGATTTCGTAGAATGAGGAGTATGCGGTCAATCCGGGCACTGATTGAGAAAATTATCAGTATGTTTCTGGGTGTGAAGGATGTCAAATTAACTTACTGCCTAATGCTCCAAGGAAATGCTTTACGTCCAAGTTGTGTGGGTTCTCAATTTTGCTTGCGCCATCTGCGAGTTGTTTTGGAAGAGCAGAGTACTCTTCAGTCCAGATGAAACCGGTGAGGAGATCTCCTGGTTGGAATTTTGGGTTGTCTGACTTGATAACTTTGGCAACGGTGTTGTTGTTGATAGGTTGTCCCAATGGGAAAGCTGGGGAGTAGGACTTGGTCTCTGCAGCTCTCATGCGTCCACGTTGGTAAGGATCGAAGGAGGCATAGAAGTTCTTGGTTGTGATTCCTCCAGCGGGTGGTGCTTGGTCAAGATCGAATTCACGAGTCTCAACTACCAAATCCTTTCCTGCAACAGGAACTCCCTGAGGAACTTGCTTGAAGATAAGACCTTTGTTTTGAACCATTTTTGCGGTTTTAATTTATGTAGATAGAGATATATTGTTGTAGGGTGAGATTGTCAAAGAAAAAGCAATTGAATATAGCGAAAGGGAATGAAGGGGGGACAGAGAGATAGATATATATGAATAGTCTTTGTGAATGAATTTTCCTGTGGTATGACGTTCCTGCTAGTAAACGTCTTCATCCAAGCTCAAACCATGCAAGTTTTGTAGAACATTCTAAAGACGACCTACCTTTCAGGGTCACTGTATCAGATACATGTTCTCATTCGTCGCCCTTCGAGAACATCTTCTCTCCATTGAAACGAAATCTCCGTTTTTTGATTGCGTGAACGAGACATGACTTGAGGTTTGGGTGAATTGGTAAGCTTTTGTTGAAGAATGTGGATACGAGATTCTGTTTTTGCCCATCGTTTTCTATGCCGAGGTTGTCGGACCTATATCATCATCCAGAAAAACACCCCGCCTAAGCCGCCACCTTGACAACGAAGGGAGAAAATGTTCCACACATTACCATAGAATAGCTACTTGAGGAAAAACATCCGCTTCTACTTGCGACGTAGGAGTTAAGGGTGACTCGGCTGATTCAGAATTATGTCCTATCGCATGTATGTATAGATCCATGCTCTGTGGCTTCCGACAAGTATTACCTGGGCTCGAGCTGGGCAATTGACTTTGTTGAGAAATAGGTAATGTTTACCCCTTCATCAGTGAGTTCGCTTCTCACCCCTTGGAGTCCGAATACTGTACCAACTTCCGAGGCAGACGAGTTGAGATCCCGAACTTCGAAGTTTAACATACTTACAAGATCGAAAGAAATGTCCGTTCTCCGAAGAGATTTCTAGGTAGTAGGTACACACTGGCGAGACTGGTACATTCAATGCATCGGTACATAAACTGCCCCGCTTCGGAGAGTTCTGTCATGCGGCAAATTATTTCTCTACACGCGAGTCAGATCCAATTGTTGAGCCAATATTATCTGATTTTTTCCATTCTTTTACTTCCGCCGGATTCGGCGGAAATGCATTTTATGCAAAATGTTATGCTCATCTAGGCATAGAAGAATTGTTCAGGTCGTAGGTAGATATTGTCGTTCCCTCTTGTAAAGTAGGCTCGGGGTGGGTATTAAATTGAGTTGATTCCGTTTGCGTGTATGCATCTATTTTGCGATTGACACGTGACATACACCAAATTATCATCGAGGCGTTGTCTCCATTGGATTATACCCAAGCATCAGATGAGAACAACCGACCGTTCGTACGAAACTTGGAATTTCTGTATCGTTGGCTTGAAACATTGGATTAGTAATTTGAAATTATCATCTTCCAGACACTCACCTAGCAGGAAATGGAGGACAACATGCACTGAAACCTTCATTCAAATGCGATATCTTTTCAATTAATCATTCAAAGCTTCAGAGAATATGACTTTATGTTGAAATTTATGAATAGTCTCCTCATGCATAATGGATGGTTCAAATACAGGAGAAATGCGTTGTTGTCTCGTGGGTAGTTTCCTATCATTAATCCCTCGGTAGTCGAACCATCAGATACTTGGATGATCAGACGTATAATAAAAGCTATACTATTTGGATATTTATATCCAAAGAAACTCTTAACAGCTTCAAGCTCTGTTCTTCTGCCCATCTGAAATTCAAAGTTACTCGTCTATACATCCAAACCTAGAGAAGAGGAGGTCGATCGACGGAAGTCATTGAGGTAAAGACAAAAAGAACTGTGAAAAGAGGGCAGCATCAAGTAGGTAGTTAAGAAATCGCACCTAAACCAGAAATATCAAAAAACCAAAGAGAAAGGAGAAAAGAGGAAAGAGATTTCACTCACGTCCTATTCCCTCTACAGTAACCCCCATCCTCCTTAACCCTTCATCGCCACATATTTTGGGAACCAAAGAATACACACGAATACTTCAAAGATCCACTACCTTCCGTGACACATTAAAATGGCGCGACGACCATATCCGATGTCTGTTTAGAAAAGAACTATCATGCTCTGGTTTTCATCTGTTGATATATCATGCGAATATGCGATCGGGAAGTCTCTTGTATTTACCTCAAGTAAAGTGTACTTTCACTCTTCTATTATCTCTGCAATCATGACATGCACCATTTTCCGACAAACTTGCAGACACTCAATAAAACTATTTCTCTTCAAATTTAGATAAGATATTCTGGTTTTTGATATTAATGTACTATTTCAAGATTACTAGATGTTCTTTATCCATTTCCACGTGAAATTCCTTTCTCGTGTCCATTTCCGTCCGTTTCTCATAAACCATATATGCATTGCACAATATATATTCCCATTCCCAATTCCATGGAATTTCCTTCCGTGCTCCATTTTCGATTCCATATTCCAAAATATAACTCCAAGGCCGTTAAATATTCAGCCATTAAATCCTCAACTATGACGCCCTTCACTCCTTCTCTTTAAATCTCCATGAATTACATATAATTTCTTCCCTCATCCTCTCCAAAAAGACTCTGCACATGATACGTTTCCCAGTTCAAAAAATCCCCCAAATCATGTCCCAAGTTGTATCCCATGGGAATATATTCATCCTTAATTTTGACCAAGTTAATCGGCGAAGGAGGTAGCGAATCATTATCATCGTCATCGATTTTTGGCTCTGGAACAGTCACTTTGAGCGCCACATCTCTCCTCGCTGCTAAGGTAGGTCCAGATACGGACTCCACTACTTGTGGAGCACTGTCCCGATCCATTTCTACCCATAGCCCACCTTGATATTCAGGGGTTCTAGGTCTGCCACTACTGCTTTCACTAGAAATACCAAAGCCCAGCCCAAGTCCGATTGTCGTCGCGCGATTATCCCTCGCATCTTTTGTTTTCCGGGAACTTTTTTCCGCATCGGTAGCCGCGAGAGATTTTCCTCTCTTGCGTCGAGAAACAGGTGCTTCTTTGACTAAACGACCAATACCAGGATACCCAAATCCGCTCCACCAATCGAAAATACTATCAACTTCCGCTTCATCTGCTTCCCAGATGCTTTCTTCGCTGGCGCCTAATGTGCCATCGTCCATTGTGCCTGAAATTGCCATCTGGAATGCGGTCCAATCGAGTGCTTCTTCAAACTCGGGCGCAGAGAGAGAATCGCGATTGGAGCGATGATAGACATGTTCGAGACGAATGGGACCATGGCGAAAAAGTGGGGACGTGAGAGTATATGGTGTGGAGGGTAATTGAATGTAGTCTACAGAGGATGTACTTGAGTCTTGGGAATATTCTGAATCTTGCGAGAAGGATCGTTTAGGGGTTCGTGGGGCTAAGATGTTCAGGGGAGAGATTTCGGGAATGGTGGGTAGGAGACTTGTCATTCCTGTGTTGGAACGACTTCGTGGGAGTCTGGGTGGAGAATGTGGAGAATCGCGGGGTGGAGAGGGGAAGTTGAGATCTTCAAAGGCTTGTTCGATAGCATCGATTTCGGCATAATCGGGATTCGATACATCGGATAATGCTTTTCGACCTCTTTGGTGGTCATTTTCCAAAGATTCGGATACATCTGCCAATGTAAATGGTAGTGGTGAAGAAGAACCAGGAATTTGTGTTGAATTGGATGTTTTGTCCTTTTCATTGTTGATGCGAGGTAATAAATGTTCCAAATGAAATGGCTCGGTTGGTGATAGATTATCTGGGCTATCCGACGATATAATGCTCGTATCAAGCTTCTTATCCGCATCCATTTTCCGTGAATGTCCCGCTGAAGTAATCCCATCCGCATCTTTCACTGTGTCGGCATTGCGAGCGACTTCATGTTGAGCATTTTCCAATGAAGCTTTTCGTTCATTATCTAACTTTGCCTTCTCTGCCTTTTCCTCTAGTTGTTGTAATCTATCCGGAGTCAACATTTCATCGGCTTCCAGTCTGGTGAATTTTCCTTTGAAAACATCAGCCATACTGGCTGTGACATCTCCTAAGTTCCATCTTGCACTTGAATGCGGATGCGGTAAACTCTTCCTCGAAGCTTTGTCCGAAGTAGTGCTTTTCTTTTGTTTAGGGGAAATTGACTTCTTTGCTTTTGTATTAAATGAAGATTTTGGTACAGGGGATTTTCCCGAGAGACTGGTTGAAGATGGACGTTCTTTCAAAAAGTTGGAATTCTGCACTTGATTGCGCTTCGAGATTGAATTGGTCCGTGCGAGAGGTTTACTCGAGTAGGTTGATCGATTTTGGCGGGTAACGATGGTATTGTTGATACTCTTGACATTCATATTGTTCAAATCATTAACACTCATACCAGTTATTCTCGCTGCTTTGCTATTTTCGAATTGCTGAAATCCTCGAGTGGCAGCTTTTGCATCACCCAAGGCAAATCCAACTGCTTGGAATGCTTGATCCGTTTCGCGAATTAATTGTTCGACGTTATCGGTAAATTCGACCATCTTTTGTAGATTCGAACATGAAGCAGATGTTGATATCGATTTCTTATTATGACTGGACGGTTGTGGTTGATCTTGTTGTTGATGAGAATTATTTTGATGAGAATGAAAATGAAAGAAAGATTTCTCCTTTGATCTGAGAATAAATCTATCGTAGGACTTCGTTGATCGTATTAATTTTTTGGTGGTAGTAGGAGTTTTAGGAATACTAGGGATACTAGTAATGGTAGGAGTTGGATTTCCTTTATCATTAATAAGATGATTTAACAACGATGAAGTATTTGGATTATGGAAGAGATTAATATTTGATCCTTCCTCTTTCCCTTCCCCTTCCATAAGCTTATCTGACGAGGTAGCTTGCGCCTCTCTTTTATAAGAATGTAACCTCAAGTTAGAATTTCCTTGTGCCTGCTGCGGAATTTCTTTTTCTGAAAATACCATGCCGGTATTGCTGCAAGTCTGCGCTTGTGGTGCTAATGGTGCATCACCTGAGTCCAATTTTGGGGGCGCCAGGGTTTGGGGGAAATAATGATAGCGGGGCTGACGATTGTGATGCTGATTATTATCATTGATCGGACTGGGTTGTAAGGTACGAGTCGCACTTCTTAATGAAACACAACTTTTGGACTTGGGTATAGTTGGAGACAAAGAACCAACATCTTCCTCAATTGGTGTCGATTCTACCTTTGTTAGGTTCGGTGTACTCTTATTCTCTTGGCCACCCACACTTTCATCCACACTTTTATCCATACTCCCGCTCGCCGAGTTATCGTTAAAACCCCAATCGAAATGTAAAGGACTTAATGGTGACTGTGCCGTTTGACTGGAATCGATCCGGATCTCAGGAGGTTTTCGTACCATGATAGCTGTATTCCTTCTAACCGCAAGTTTGTCGGATTTTGGATTTTCTGATATCCAGAAAAGGCTTTCTGGTTGCCTATTACCGGTATTACGATCGTATTCGAAAAATCCATCAGCACTGTTACTCTCTCGATGAAAGATCATCTGCTTAGGACGCGACCCTGACTTTTGAAGTGGCATAGTCGCAGGCTATTCAGTGGAAAGTATAACAGAACCAAAATTCGAATGTTAGTCCGCCGTGTATATCAATTGAACGAAATTGAGTGGATTTCCGGTTTCGAGATGATGCACAGTACAACTTGATACACGGCGCAATCATCTGTACGACATTGGCACAACACTTTAACAAGGGATACACTCGGATACCTAAGGTATATCTACAAACATCTGATGGGAATGGGTTTCGCATCCACTTGTAGCATTGGGGCTCATCTTTAGAGTTAAAGATCTAGCTCAATGAATATATTAAAGATAGCCTGCTAGTGCACCGCTTGACGATATATCACAAAACTCGCGTGGTTAACAGATCAACAAGATGCATGCCGGATAGCACATCCACACCGACCTCGTGGTACTGGATTCCAAAGACCAGATTCCTTTGAGTGACAAGCGCCGCCCATGTCAAACGCAAAATACCAACAGCTTTCATAACAAATGAGTGATAGGCTATACTTCCGATTCATGCAAGAGAAGGAAGGGTGGAGTTGACTTCCTTGTGGCAAATCTCAAAGAGACATCCACTTACTGAACTTGATTGCGGGGATTTGGAATTTCACAGCAGCGGCAAGGGTCGTCCCCGAGAAGTCCAAAGACTCCCACAACGACGGATAAGCGCATAAACATGTTCGTGACTGAGGTACCGCGCTAAATTTAGATGCTAGTGACGTGATTGTGTACAATATTTGAAGATGCTTATCTAGCAAGGATGACATTGACTAGTAGTTTGCATAAAGAATGGGATGGTTCTTGGTCTGAAGGAGGCAAGGAATCTGTACACAAATGCAAGAAGCCGCGTGAAGTTGTGTTCAAAAGGAGTTTGTTCGCTCCGGCATTCGGGGATTCGGAGACTTCCACCAAATCTTCATCGCCGGAGTTGGTGTTGATACTGACAAGAAGAACGAAATTGATGAAGAGATATTAGGTAGCAAAGAAACAAATTTCGATATCCAAGGTTTCTAAATGAGATGTGCAATCGGTATCAGCATGTAGTGGAGAAAAACATGGTAGTGCTGTGCGCGGTGTGCACTGGTAACTTAGCGGCAGTTGAAATAAATTAAGAGTGGATAATTCCATGTGTGACGAGTTCGCTCTACCCATTTCAGTCCTCACTTATTCTAATTGCAGTCCCTTTTGCATTGGTATGCTCTTTTTGGACTTATACGATCGAAGAGACAGGAAAGAGCTTGCTGGATTGTCTCTTTCTAATTTATCGCCATGTTCCTTTTTATGGGAAAGGCAGCGACGACGACGATGGCGACGACGACGACGATAACGATGACAACCTATTTAGGTATTCTTCACATTGACTGAGTAAATAGTACTATCCAATGAAATACAATACCAAAAATGAATGAATTGACATTACCTATTGCCTAGATGATTGTTACGCAAATAGGCTAGAGTAAGATACAAACATGCATGTGGTGCACGTGATAGTGGCGCTTTTCCCCAAAAGTCCCCGACCCGGGCGGCTGCGAGTACCCCACCTAAGCCATTTAGCAAGAGGCAAGGCAAGCAACAGAATAGGAACAGAATATCAACATTAACAAACTGTTGCAACTGCAACCGCACCCGCACCCACACCACACCCACCACAATCACAGCTCAGGCTCTTTGATATTCTCCAGGACGACAATGAATACGAACAGGACTGATTTCGCTTTCTAGGCTCCTACCTTTCGGTGATCACATCCCTAAGCTCACAAAGTGGAACTTTGTGACCCTAAACTTGTTAGATGAACTAATTAATATGTCAACAAAGTTGTAATCCAACATGCAGCCATTCAACAATACAAGGAATGCAAAGCAACAATTGGTAGGACTCAAGCCAAGGCAGCACCGTGAATAGACGAGGTAAATCTATAAACATCACAAACAAGAAGGTCAACCCAAAGGACAAACAATAAAACATACACTCCGTCGTATACAGCCAAGTCAATAGGTATATGCCGAGTTGATACATCATGTACATGATATCAATGTACCTGCTGGTCCTGCAGCTTTCATATTTAGCTAAAATGCACAGTTGTGGTTGGCGGATGAGTCTGACTTATGCATTGCCGTCCGTACCATGTACAATTCCAGCAACTATCGAGTCTGCGCCACATCATCGCTGTTTTTTCTGATTACTTAATCTAGATAAGTCAACCCACTGAAGTATATTTAGATTATTCTTTCTTTCTTCACACATGGCAACCCCTATCCCATTGGCTAGTTGCCTACCATACCTACACGGGACACAGGATATACAGGAAGTGTACGAATTCTAATTTACGTTTTTTTCGTCCTGCGCAATGTGCATTGGGACTTTTGCTTGGAGATCAAATCCTTCTCAAGCCGTGGTTACGATCAAGTTATCAACCCCCGTTGGCGCATTCCCCTCGATGTTACCTTGATGAGCTAAGCCTCAAGTTTGGGAAGGTAGCATTCAACACAATCCGTTCAAGTAGAACTTGGAAAAGCTAGAAAATCCATTGAAAAACTCGGCCTAAGACAAAATCAACCAGCTGAAACAAAATGGAATGTTTGTGTATGCAGGATTACCCCGCGAGTGTATGTGTAATGGATTTGCTTACCCGGCGTTCTCCATCTCATCAATAACTCCGGCAAAATCAAAGTACTGATTTGCCCAAGGACTTGTTATCTGCCTTTATCCAGAGGCACAGAATACTACCACAGTATCTTTCAGGAATACCATGCCAAAAAAGATATTCGCCAAGAGACGACACAATTCATTGCTCGCTTTAAAGTGTTAACCCAATCAATGAACAGGCCAGTAGCATTAAAGGTTTCGTCAACCATTCGGCATTATCACGACCCAATTAAATTGTCAATCCTTCTACATGAAATCTATTACACAGCATCTCTTACGGTCGCACAATTCCATTGTAAAACGGCCCTTCATAATCTCGTTCATATCAAAACGGCACAGTCGCACTTATCCCTCCGCCTTACGATCAATCCTGCAAGGCTATTTTGACTATCATCTCTTGGATTTCGAATCCATTACCTTATGGTACATTGCCGCAGATCATCCACGTGTGTCTCAAACAAATAAATACGAGCATCAAGAACTCATCCAATCAATCCATATCTGCAACAGTTTCTGCTCACAAATTGCCGACATAAGCGTCTAGCAAGCTTCTACGGGAATCCAGGCCTTGACAATAGTGAACCTTCTAGCTTCAACTTGGAGGATTGAAAAGCATGGCATTCCGAATCCTCTCTCAATCTTGGGATTCCAGCGCTAGCGAGTTTAAGATACTATCTCCTTGGAGCAAAAGCGAAGTACCATATTGCTTCCCACCTCAATCAATGTACCTGTGTATTTGTACCATAGGATTTCTTGGTAACGGCAATCCAACAACGTGAAACGCTCATCTATGTTTCCTCTCCCGCAGTAGTAAATGTGGGAGGGTTCAATGCTGAATCCAAATCTTACCCGCACCTGCTTTTTATACCTACACGCTGTCATTCCAAGACATACTGTTTTGTGTTAGACTTGGCCGGCTATAATTTTCATGTTGTCTCTTGTTACAAGTGGCTTCGCCGAGATGTTGTCTACCATTAATACTACGCAAATATAGTGGTTTAATATGACCAACGAGAGATGTCTTTGTACTCCTCGCTGTCATTTGCCAGCATTGTAGCCTAGGCGGTCGGAATTCGGAAGTGCTCATTCGAGACAATCTTTTATGCACTTCAATCATCGTTTCCAGTCAAAATGTTAGTTTTACATTTGGTAGTATAGCTGGAAGCTGTATCCTCGTCTTGACATGAAATACCACATTACAGTAGGGCGAATTATCCGCGCCTCCATCTCTTTATCAGCCATATTCGATTTTTGGAATAGCTGATAACAATTGAACGCCGATTTAGAAACATATATCATTTTAGTTTGAATTTTGATTTCTGATTGTAGACTTACCGAGCGTCTCGAGTACGAAGTTTACACCCGGGCTAGCGGTTTCGATCCCAACTTGTTGGTGATGAAAATCCATCGCCCCACATCACGGTCAGGGCTGAACTAATTCTATTTCTACAAATCAAACAGAGTTCAGCCACGCTACCATAGTTGGTACTACTTTTTTCTTGATAAATTTGTCTCGCATGTCCACGTGGAATTTCAGGCTTATTCCAGATCATTGATGAATTAATCGCGGCATCTCACACAAATACCAATGGGGGAATGAATTCGACCGGCTCCGATTCCCAGAATTACGGTACTAGTACTGTACATAATAAGCACTGGAGCCATCCCTCAATCCCTGAACCTGAAATGATTTGTCTTGAAAATGATTTATGACGATTGCTGTAATCTCATTGGATGAGTAAGATGGATGGAGAAGTGGTGAGATTCTGATTGGGTCTTGATATGCTTATGTGATATCTTAGTTGATATTTGGCAACTGCAAACCTATTTTTGAAGATCTACTTATTTGTTTTCGCACCTGTATGCCGGATTCACCGAGATTTTTTGGGGGCGTGAGTGCGTTTTCGTTGATTATTCATCGCGTAGGTTGATAGTCTATATGGAGATATCTAATGTCGAGATTATAATCTAGTGCTTTTAGTTTGCAGAACGTTCTGAGTGGTCTAATCTGATACTGATATACATGATTGTTATGACTACGAACTTTCTGTGGTGTACTGCCTTGGACTGTATTGTCTTTTTTTGGTGATGGTCGTTCCTTCATGAATACACTGAATCTGTTTGTATCTATAGCGTGCTTTACGGATATTTTTATATAAAACGATTTTAAATAGTAATGATTAGATTATTTATATCTATTGTAGGTTATGAGTTAGTATATTAGTATATACGATAATAACCTCATATAGCATTATTCCATATATAAATACCTCAAATGTCAGGAATATGACCAAAATGATCTCAATTAATATTTTTGATATTTCAGTCTCGATTTTTTTTAATAATATTATTAATCTAGTTTCAGTTTGATTTAAATAAAAAATTGATATTTTGATCTCAAAAATATATAATATTCTGATTTTAAAAATTATATATTATTTTAATTTCAAAAACTATATATCATTTTAATCTCAAAAGTTATATTCTAATTATAATATAATATAAAATATATTAAACAATTATAAATTATAAACTTATAAATTTAAAATCTCTTTTTTAATTTTTTAAATTTATAAATATCTTTCTTTCCCTTTTTCTTTTTATATTTTCCTTTTTTATTTTTCTTATTTTTTTTATATTGAAATTAAAAAAAAATAAGAATATCTAAAAATGGAAAATATAAAAAGAAAAAATATAAAATAAAACAAAATTTATTTAAGAAATAAAAGCTTTGAGATTTAATTTGAGATTAGAATTTGATTTTCTAATTTGATTAATTATAGTTTGAATAGAAAATCCAAATTTTATATTATATTTAAACTAATATTACTTTTAAATCTGAAACCAGAATATCAATATCTTTATGAATTTGAATTAAACTAATACTTTTCAAATTGAAACTAGAATAGTAATATTTTAAAAATCAAAACGATTTGAAATAGTATATACTAAACTTTAACTAACACTTTTGATATTTGAGGTATCAATACATGAAATAATACTATATGGGGTTATTATCATAGTATATAATATTATCGTAGGTCATAGGCTAGTAATATAGTATGGAAGCTGGCTCAGGTTAACGACTAAAATGGATTATATAAGCAGTGTGACACGTGATATTAAAGAATCTATATTGAATAATTTTCTTTTTTATTTTATATTCAAGGGAAAAAGGCCTCTTTTTATACTTTTTTCTTCTAATTCAATATTTCCGCTTTCATAAATCTCTTATAGATTTCTTTTTAATCCATCCATTCTTTCGAAATAAAGCCTTTTTTTATATTCTTTATTTTATATCCGTTTTTGGATTTATGGCCGTTTTCGGCTTAATGATCGTTTTCGAATTAATAATCGCTTTCATAAGCTTATAGGCAACAATCATATGATCTAATTATATAATATACTAATACTAAATTGAATACTATTAAAAAAATATATATATTATATTATTTTAATTAAAATAATAATTATTTTAATTAAAATAATAGTTCTCTTTAATGTATATTATCTTTTTATATATATTTATATATATATTTTTATATTAGCCTTATTAAAACCTTCTTATTTTTAAAGGAAAAAGAGTATTAATATCTCATATATATATATATATTAATCTTATTAAAAACCTTATTTATAAAAGGAAAAAAAGTATTAATAAATATATATTTTTGTTTTTAATAATAATTATTAAAATTTTGAATTATATCAATAAATCTTAATAATTTGATTTTGTCTAATGGCTTAGTTAATCCATTAGCTAATTGATTTTCTATAGAAATTTATATTAAATCTAAATATCCTTTATTTATAAGATTTCTTATATAATAATATTTAATATTAATATGCTTGTTCCTATCATAATATATAGGATTATTTGATATAGCTTTTACTAACATATTATCTATATATAATGGGAATTTATTTTAATTAAATTGATTTAATTCCTGTAATATATATCTTAAATATATAGCTTTTCTAGCAACTAAATTTATAGCAATTAGCTCAGATTCTACTATATTTTGTGCTATAATAGATTGCAATTTAATCCTCCAGCTAATTAGATCATTAGTATATATAAATATATAATCATTAATAGATTTAGTAGAACTTTTATTTCCCATATAATCTATATTACAAAATCCTTTGATATATTTATTATTATTCTTTTTATATATAGTTTTAAATATTTTAATTCCTTTTAAATATCGAAATATTCTTTTTATAATTATTATATAATCTTTACTAAAATTAAATATATATCTTACTAATTTTAATATAAAATAAACAATATCCCATTTAATTCCTAATATTAAATATAATAATTTCCCTATTACTTTTTATGCCCATTTAATTTTATTTAAATTAATTTTATTGAGATTTATTTTTATATTATTTTTAATAATTATAAATATAATTATAAAGATGCAATCTTTTAGTTTTAAATCTTTTAGATATTTATTTATATATTCTTCTTAATTTAATTTAATATAATCTTTATTTAAATTGATTTAAATATCTAAATAATCTTTTATTAAATCTAAATCCTTTAGATCTAAATAATTTTTAAGATTTTTAATAAAATCTTTAATTAGAACCTTGCTAAAACTTATAATAGCAATATCATCAATGAATATATTCAATATTAATCCCGAATATTTATTTATAAATATATACTTATCTAATTTTATATTAATAAAATTTAATTTATTTAATATACTTTTTAATATAATATATTAGATTCTAATGAACTATTTTAATCCATATAAAGCTTTATTTAGCTTTAATATTATATTATTATTATAATATATTTCAAAAGTTTTAATATATATATTTTTATTAATATCTTTCTATACAAAAGCTAAAATCATATTTATTTTGTATATATACCATCTTTTATTTATTGCTAGTGCAAATACTAATTTCCAGGTTATTTGCTTTATTATATTAGCAAAAGTATTTAAATAATTTAATTCATATAATTATTCAAATCCTTTAGCTATATATCTAGCTTTAAATTCAATATTATTATTAGATAAATATTTAATTTTATAAACCCATTTTATTTTTAGAACATTAAGCTCTTTTATATTATTATTATTCTTTTTAATAATAATATTCTAGATTTTATTTTTTTTAAGAATCTTTATTTCATATTTCATAGCTTTTTTTTAATATTCTTTTTAATTAGAATTTATAGTTTGTAAATATATTTCAGGAGTTATTAAATTTTTATTATAAAGTCTTTTTATTATTATTTTTTCATTAGTTTTTATACTGAAATATAATAACATATTCTTTTTATATTAATTATTATTAATATTATTTAATTTAAATTTATAATTTTGATTCTTTGATTTAATATATAATATATAAATAAGATTATA